GCACAGAAGTCACGTTTTATAATGCTTTGTTATTATACAAAACCTGAGGCATTAAAATTGTATTACAACCAGTAATGGAGGTCCTAATTGTCGTTAAATCGACCGTTTTCGACGACGGAAATAAGTTTAAATCGATTCCGTTTAAAGTTGTTTCGAGACGATTGTTTTCGATTCAAGAAATTGTCTTTTGAAACTATTACTTTTTTAATGTATTTTTTTATAACAGTTTGTGGTTAAAAAATTATTATGACAGTCGTTTTGTTATTAATTCATACAATGTATATATCGATTATTATGAGCAATCAATGTTGTATCGGTTTTTTTAATTGACTTCAAAAAAGGAATTTCTCAATTTAGTTGTATTTTTTCAACATTTGTTAACTCATAAGTCCGTTATTTGTTAACTGATTGGTAAACTGTTCTTTTATCTGAAAAGAAAAAGTAGATTCAAGTTCTAGGACTTTCCATATTGGTCATCAATCTCCGACCGTTATTCAGTCTATTCATATGTTGCGACATGTGTTTCATCTCCAAACGAGACATCTTCAGGCAAATTAATAGATCTCTACTCGGAGCCTAGTATTAACCGGTCGATGCCCAGACAACGAATAATAATACCATTTTTTTCTCTCTTTTGTCTTTTATTACTTTGTTATTGTTCTTTCTTTTTTTTTTTAATTACGAATATAGCGAAATTAAACAAAATAATTCTAATTATATTACTAGTAATTTAACTACGCTAGTACGTTATAATGTCTGCATAAACCAGTACACGTATTCTCTGAGCAGCCTGATTACTTAGGTTCTATTAACTTTTTCTGGAAATATAGCTTTAAAAATTGTCATTTTAGATATGCAGTGGCTTAACATATCGTCATTCTATATCATCATCATCATATCAGCCTTTAACTGTCCACTGTCGTTTTATATATTCGACATGGAATAATAGAATATAAATAAATTGTTAATTTTATAAACTGTATCTTTTTTATATAATTAAGAATGGCAAACAAGCTGATGGCCTATCAGATGGAAAGTGGTAACGGTCGCTTATAGACATGAGCATTACCATGGACATAACGAGTATACTGTTTCGCCTATGATACCCCCCATGCGTTGCCATTCCTGAGGACTCTGGTGTTATCCTCTACTCTGTAAATTCACTACCACATCCCACACTTCAAACCGAAACACATCCATATAAACAACTGCTTCACGGTAGAAACACAAATGGGACAGAGGTGCCAAAACAAACGACTTTTGTACAAAGTCTCCCTCTGGTAAATGGTATCTCTCTTTGAACAATAAAGAGTTTCCATTAATTCCTTCATTTGTTCATAAATATAAAATGATTAATAAAAAATATATTAATTTGGTCATCTCAGTACAATTACTATTACCATCATTTGTATAATAACTGTCATCATCATCATATCAGCCTTTAATCGTCCACTGCTGAACATAAGCTTCCCCGTTAAGGGGGTTTGCCAGTGATTGCCACATTTGGCAGGCGGATTGATATCCGCAGTTAGGCTTCTACAGATATTTTATGAAGGACTCTGCTGCTTATCCCTCGGCCTTCCTTAGTCACCTCTTAGGACACCCACAGGAAAGGAACGGGAGACCTATTCTATGTCGGAACCACACGATTATATAATAACTATGTACAAAGTTAATTAATATCCTTCTCTAATTAAGTAAGGCCTTTCCCCAGTAATGTGATGTCAATGTATTAATATGATTGGTATAATGTCAATAAAATGACATAGCTAGTTTATATAAATAAAAATCAATTTGTAGCCTAACATGACGAATTTCATAAGAATTAAATACGGTCGCTTTTAGGTTCAATCGCGTGGAGGTCGACATATTACTAGCAATAAAGCTGTTAGACCCCTTTATTAACAATCCCTTTCCCCCAAGTAAATAATAATTCAATTTCAAATGTTTTCAATTATTTCACGTGTTTCAACCGTGAAGCAGTTGTATTTGCATGGCCGTGTTTCAGTTTGAAGGGTGGAATATGGCGTGAATTTACTGGGTACAGAGGAATAACACCTGAGTCCTCAGGAATGGCAACGCATGGGGGGTATCATGGGCGAAACAGTATACTCTGTTATGTCTATGGTACTGCTCATATCTATAGGCGACGGTTACCACTTTCCATGAGGTGGGCCGTCAGCTTGTTTGCCATTCTAAGTTGTATAAAAAAAATCTCGGCTGGGTAGCGTTCGGAAAACTACACCTCATCTTTTCATCCAAAATACTTCAGAGTTTGAAGACGAAGGTCCTTAACCAGTCCGTTTTGCCAGTGATGACTTATGGAATCTAAACGTGGTCCTACACGATTACCCATATGCAAAAGCTTTAGATTACTAGCGGGCTGTGGAGAGAGTTATGTTTGGAGTTTCTTTGCGTGATAGAATCCTATACAAGGATATCCGCAAAAGAATCAAAGTAACCAACATAGCCCAAAGGATAAGCAAGCTGAAGTGGCTATGGTCACATAGCTCGAAGAACCGACAACCAATAGGAAAGAAAGGTTCTTGAGTGGCGATCTCGCACGGGCACAGTGTAGGACGACCCCCACTAGATGAAGTGACGACCTCAAATGGATTGCGGGGAGTCAGTGGATACAGGTGGCTCATGTCCGTTCCTTATGGCGCTTATGGCGTTTATGGCTTGGACAATGAACATGGGCCAGGTGTAGATAGAATTTTCAAACATAATAATAATATTATTATGGTTGAAAATTCTATCTACCTGTGCGAATCTGTACCGGATCTCTAATTTACAATAAAACAACACAATTCATATTTTTATATTTTATTAAAACATCCTCAATGAGTATGTAGTTTCTATTGAAAACTGATTATTCGAACAATAAAATTTACAATTGTTTGCTGAATGTTATGTCGAAACAGAATATACGGGAGTAGGAACTTACATCACGAAAAAATCTAGCTTTTAATATTTTATTAGATATGACAACATTGTGTGAGGTTTGTTGAAATTCCGTGGAATGGTTTTCAAATATTTGTAAAAATTTTGCCTTATCATGTTATTTCTATTTAATAATATATTAAAGTTGAAGATATATGAGATTTGTTTTAAATTTATTATTTTATTTTTTAAATAAATGAAATATAAAAATCCCGAGTGAGTGCCCGAAGCACTCATGTAAAAAAATCGATATTCAAATATAAAACAAATATATTATTTTTCAAAAACTACCGATTGTTAGTTTTTATTCTATACGTCAATATCTATCATTACTTGATTTCTCATAATGTGGTATATTACACCTACATATATATTCAAATATGATGTATTAGATTATTTCATAGCCAATTTTGAAATGAAGTATTTATATTTTAAACATACTCCCGTACATGTTGCCTCTCTAAGTAAAACATAAACGTTTTATAATAATTGAGCTATACGTCAATGCTTAATATAAACTTAATATTTACAAGTACATGGAATGTCTATTCAATATTTCACTTTTAGATGAAGAGAATAATATCATGCGGTATAGGAAATAAAGTTGAAATTCGAAGTTTTAAATTATAGGTAACCAATAAAAAATTGTTGAATGGATATAACATTTAGATGTAATTGAACACAACATAGTATCATTGATAAAAAATGTATTAATTTTTTTTTTATAAAATTACATATGTTAATACTGAGTTATTCCTCTATACTTTGTGCGTTATATAATAGTGTGGATGTTAGCTGACATTTCAATGGTAGGTATTTATTGTAAAAAAACTGTAGTTAGCCAGTAAGATTTTGGAGGCAAAGACTATCTAATCATATACTTTTTATACGACTGCATAAAAGAGAGTGTAATGTTCATTATATGAGTTTGTTAATTCCATCATTACTTTTAGATACCTGAATAGAATTGGATTAATAGGCATCCGTTAGAATCCTTACTAATTTTGTGAAAAATAACTTGATGGTTATTTTTCTTTTAAATTAATTTGTGTATTGGCAGGGTCATCGTTTTTTAATTTGCAAAACAGACTCGTGACAATAAAATATTTTAATTTGTCTTATTTTTAAGTTCTTATCAAATTTGTTAAATCGTAATAACTTACGTTTCGGTAATATTTTTTTTTGTTTTGGTAATCTGGTAAAAGCACCATACTATAACGCACAGATTAACTCTTTAAAAAAGAGCATCTATAACGACTGTCCAAAGATCACAAGAATCCATCATAACTCAGTGTTACATTAAAATGTAATATAAGAAATGCCATTTCCTTTTGTAATAAATAAATGTTTTGAAATAGTATGCGCTAAGTTTGATTTTCAATTAAATTACAGCCTTACTTCTAGTAAGTATTCATTAAGTACAAAGCGAGATCCTAGAAATGTGCTAATGAGCGTAATGTTTAAGAGCCAAGTTCGTAAATAATTTATTTACTATATTTACAAAAAAATAATAATTGTAAACATAGATTTTATTTTACAATCATTAAGTACTATATACACGTATCCAGTATATAATAATAATTATATAATGTTATAAAATAATTAAATAATTCAGTAAATGTCATATAATACTGCTGGTTTGTATTATCAATAAACATAGAAACTCGGTCATTGAAGACATAGAAAATCTATGATATTACCTATATTTATGATATATTACAATTTATTAAGTACATGAAAATTTATATTATTAACGTTGACAATATTGCTTAAAATATACGAGACTGCATGTTCTAATAACACAAATTATTTTATAAGATTAAATTACTTAAACTTAAATTTTTAATACACGAACTATAAAAAAATTTCATTTAGTCGATGATAAGTTCTTTTTTTATGTGTGATTAGTTTTATTTTAAATAATTCTTCTGAAATTATATTAAAAATAGATGTAAAGTTTTGCCTTCCAGTAGCTACATAATGGAAAAATTGAGATCGTAAGATATTTCATTAGCATACATTAAGTCTATTATATTCCTTGTAATTTTTAATAATATTTACAATTGAGAGCGGATCTCGTGACTTATTAATATGGGGATTATAACATCTTTTATACAGAACTTGACCCAAGTTTTCACGTGACTATTCCGATATAAAATTGTGTTAAATTTCAACATATAGGTGAAGCGACGGGTGGTGGATGAGGTGGTGGTGCTGTCGCTGCCTGGGCGTTCAAAAATCCATTCTGGTTTCCAGCCCAGGGCTGTAAGTTTTGTAAAGCGCTTAACGCTGTATTTGTGGGTGGCGCTGGTGCAGTGTTACTAGGAGGTTGGTAATGAAGCGCTGATAGCGGAGCTGCCCCTGGTGGTGGTTCAGGCATGTAGCCTTTGCTTAACGCTTCAGCTTGGAGAGAGAGCATCAAGCGATTAGCCGCTTGACGCTCAGCTTCGCGTTCTTCAGCAGTCTGGCGTCTGTAACAAGAAGGAAAGAAAAATATTTATAAAATTAATTTATTTTCTGTTTTTATTTTTTAAATAGATGGCTAGAAGTTATATAGTTACATATATAAAGTCCACCCAAGTTGCATTAAACTGCCTGAAGAAGAATAAATCAGTAAGAAATATAGTAATGTAGTCCCCTAATAAAGTATAATATTATATAATAATACGTAGTTACTCAAAATTACCAGTAAATAAAATAAATAAATAAGTAAATAGTAAACTGTTTACATACACATTATTTATACGTACATACACATACGTATTACATAAAATATACCAGTTATTGTATCCAATAAATTGCCTAAACCTGATGATAGAATACAAATAAACGATCAATCTAGGAGTTTTCATTAAAACATGCTAAACAATGACATCGATCTTAATTTAAAACAATTAAGGCACACATTAGCGTGTACCAACATTAGTTTTAAGGGTTACTACACGATAAGGTAGACGTATAAATATTTAACAGCGCGGCTGAATTGAATAACATTAAAACAATTATCGTTAGCTGCCGCTTAAATGGGACCTTCTGAAATGTCGGTAAATAATACATGAAGCTAGAAATGTGCCGTTTATACCTTAATTTGATTTATGTCATCGTCTAATTGGGGGTAGGTAAATGCGACAACCAAATTAGTTGATTGAATTAACTCTGTAATAGATTATTATTTTGATGGCCACGTTTTTGTTGTGGATTTGTGAAATATTAATTTCCTGTTATCCTTATAAATAAATAACAAAGTGATGATGAACGTTATTATTTTTTGAAAAACAATATTTGAAATCTTTCAATTATTTAAGATATAATAACAATTAATTTTTTGCATTTTTATCTGTCTGACACCAACTGTTTCCAGTTCCAAAAAGGAATTTCCAAAAACTCTCGTAATTTTTTTTTATTCCTTGGAAATAATTATAAAGATGAAATTAAACTTGTTTGTTTGTTACCTCTGGACGCTTTAATGGCACAACTGACCGTCATGAAATTTGCTATACACGTATTATTTGGGATGGAGAAAGGTTAAAAACTAGAAAACATAGGCTATTATTTATTTTGGCATTGCGAACGAAGTCGCGGTTAAAACTAGTCTCATTTCAAAACCTTCATGCAAAATTTAAGCTGCTAGCTTAGTACTTAATAGTAAATTGATATGCCACTCATTGTGTAAATTGTTCTAATTCTTTTTTATATTATATAGATTATTACAGCTTCTAAAATGTATTTATAAGAGATATTCTTTATTGTTTTATATAAGGATATCATCAGTTGATCCCAGGAGTCAAGTGCGACGTCTGCCGCGATAAACTCACAACTCGAGCTGGTACGACCGCTCTTAACATAGCGCCTTAAATGTTTGCATTATTTATGTTGCAACACCAAATCAGTTGATCAACTAGTCTATAGATTTCATTATGTAAATCTAAACAAATCTATGGATTTTGGTCTGTTACTGCATTTGTATTAAAATGTAAAATTAAGTCTTTTTTTATTTCATAATATTCAATACGTACCTATTATTTTATTTAATAAGGCTATCATTTACCAATATAAGAGACAACTAAGAGTTGTGTAAAATTATTTTTTTGAAAATGTAAAGACCTTGACGAGAGTGTTTTTACTGAATCACTCCGCAACAACGAATGAACTTAAATGAAATTTAGTAGACTGATAGACCACATAATAGATATTATGTTTAGACTATATATTTATCCTAATTCACGTGGACAAAGTTGAGCGACACATTTAGTTTTTTACATAACTTGAAATAGCAAACAAGCTGAGAACCCGATTAGAAACTTATTAAGTTTGTCTGCACATATTTTTATAAATATTCTTCTTATTTATTGATACCATTGTTTTTACTAAGTATATATTGCATCAACCATAGAAAAAGCATTTCTTACTGGAAACGTCACGTCACACGAACTGTACCGTAGTTTAAGGTTAGAATTTCTCTTTATTTATGCACAAATAGTTCGGTATCATTAAAGTAGAAACAAATCCATGACAATCCTATTACTTGAACGTCAGTCGTTTTGACTAGTCGTATAATAACCTGGGAATGCCGCAGCGACCGCAATCCAAACTTGGACTAGTTGGGCAACAAGTCGTGGTCTCGGGTAATTTTGAATTGTTTTCCGACTAGGAATTATAATATGCCGGAACTAGAAGTGGCAAGATGTAATATCAGTTATTTAAGACTTGAATTATTAAAAAAAACTTATTTTACAGTTATAGTAGCTGTATATTTTATAAAAATGATAATGAATTCACAACTACAAAAAAAAAACACATTCTGATACATGTACATACATGATACATAGGTACATGAATTATAAATGTACATAATGTTTTTATCCATAGCTACTTATATTATAGATGAATCCTAAATTGTATCTAGTAGCGAATATATCCACGTATTTGTAAAATTGATTAAGATTTCAAGGTAAATTATATACCAATTTTTTATTTGCTAAATTGTAAATAATATTAAATTAAATAATTACACGGCCGCCATTAAATGGATATAAATAATCCTAAGATTCAAGTACGCTCAGTGATTCAGCCCTGTTGTCTTATCTAGAAATGTAATATTAATTCTTAGTTAGACAGGTACCTATATAATATTCCAACAACTTAACTCTTAGTGGCCTCTACTTAAAAGGGGTGAACACACTTTACTTTAAGCGTCTCTTAGCTTAAAATTTTAATTTAGTACAGTAAAAGACTCTTGAACTTTAGCTGATGTTAAGTATAAGTTGACGGTAACGTCTAATTATAAAGACAACTTTTGTTCTAAGAAGACGTTATCAAAAAAGGTGAACATTCTAATAAATTACCCACATGTTTGTATTTTTTATTCATATTTAAGAATTTATTTTATATTTAAGATCATGAAATAGTTGCTATATACTAAATAATATGAATTGTAAAGAATATTTTAGGATATTTTTGGGGAGGCTTAAGTTGAGCAGTAGGGGTGGGGTTAGTGGGGGGGGGGGGATGCCAGTAGTCACCACGCTTAGCAGATGGATTGGCAACCGCTGTTAGGCTTTGAAGATATTTTAAAAGAGACGTTGCTGCCCATTCCTCGCCCTCCATAGTCGCCTTTTACGACACCAACTGGAAGGAAGGGGAGACCTATTCTATGCCGGGACCACACGGCATACTACGTTTATAGAACTACTGTCTACATCATGTTATAGTTTGAAATGTAGATTATACTTTTGAATTAGAAAGTCATGAATGAATACAAATACTCACTACTTCCTATGCCACTGCGTTAGGTTGACTGGAAGAGATCTCTTTTAGAGATAAGTTCACATTTGCTTACATTATTACTAATTGTTATTATTACTGTATGTTTTATTGTAATAAAGAATATTAAAAAAAAATTAGAATGAAATAAATTTTTGTATTAAAAATTGTACAAGTGTTTTGTTATGGCAGTACTGAAAAAGAATATGATCCGTTTGATGGTCAAATTAGGAGCACAATAGCCTACAACATCAAGGGTAGAAATTACGTACCGTTACCGACTCGTGTTTGAATTAATAATTCACTCAGAAGATTTTAATACGGTAATAGGAATAAAGAAAATACGCACTTATGAAATTATTAACGCACTTTCGAATACCGTTACACTAAAATGTGTTATATCGCTTTAATTTAAGCTTGAACGTTACTTAATGCCAATATTTCCAGAACATTAAGATAAATACTGTTAGCTAAGTACATGGTCCTTATGTTGCACTAATTAAGATACCAACAAACCCCTGAGTGGTCTGTTTAGCATTAATTTGCATGTGCCACCGTCGATAATTTAGCGTGTTCCCACAATGAAGTTATAAAGTGCAAAATCGTTTGATTGCACGCATAAAAGTTTGTACAGATGAATGAAGCTTTTAAGTCTGAGTCGATATTATCTCGCGGTGTCGACGAAGTTAAAGAGTCTCAATTATATAGAATGCTTTTATCGTTATTGAAAATTTTCGGTGCCGCGTTGTACTCGATAATAATCGCGACATTTCACTTTAATGTTCTTTATCGGGGTACACGAGCCTTAAATAAATAACAGATTGGGTACTTTGCGTAGGTAACAGGGCATGTTCAGTGTTGTACGAGATTGAACTCTAGTGTTGTGAAGTTGTGGTACAATTTCAGTGTGGTTTTAAACATGAATAAAGAAAAATATGGGGAAATATAAAAAATAATGTAGAATAGTCATGTCTAACGTTACTTTTTGTCATAAATTCTCTTAATATAATACTCATTGTCGATTTAGTGTCAGTAATTTATGGTTAAACAAAAAATCAGAGATATCGCAATTTTATACAAATATATTTTACAAACAAACAAAGTAAATGAAATAAAGATAATTATATATCTTTTAATTATTTGATGTGTAATGGAAGATTCTGTGTGTATCTATGTTTAGTAGATATATTATTTTATTATAGGTTTTGTATTTTTTTTATCTCTGTATATACGTGTATGGTTCATTTCAGTTGACTAACTATATAAACTTCTCTTTTCATTTAAGAGTTTCCACTTGTCGGTGCAACTAATTCATGCATCTTCTTCTAGCCAGTTCTATCCCAGGCCATATCCTTGATCTCCCTATACGACATGACACCTAGTGTTTCTTTTATCTGTCCCGTGTAGTTATTCCTCGGTCTTCCTCTTCCTCTTCTACTATCGTATAAATATGTTTTAGTACTTATTGTATATTTTTAACATAAAAAATAGTTTAAATTTTTCAATTACTGTCTGTGCCAAAATAAATGAAACAAACAAAGAAAAAAATATATTTTTATAAATATCGCCAGTAAAGTTTTTGATAAAAAAAAAATAAACTCAAATCGGTTGATTACTGACGGTGTAATAAGGTAACAAACATAAAAAAATTGGTTGTACCGGATTGATGATCCCCTTTTTTTACCTATTGAAAAATACTTGAAAATAT